GATGACTGATTGTCATAATATTTTGACGAAAACTTAAACTTCAACTGTTTCAATCTGACTATCATGGTATCAATTACTACAAAATTCTCCCAAATTGTATTAATTCCAAAATTTGTTTTAAACTGAGAAAAGAAATACGAAATAGTAGTAAAAAATACGCGTGTGCAAAAATAGCATTTATTTCCAATTGCTGAGTGTATGCAGTCTGCAAGCACGGAGTGTACAAAAATCTTTTAGTTTGCTGGTGTAGCTTATCGACAAACTTGTAATGGTCTGTGTCTCTTTCGTTAGCTATAAAGAAGAATCCTCCGGGGATGCTTAGTTGATGTTGTTGACTGGTGAGCGTTATAGGCCATTCTTGATTAATGTCAGCAGGCCTAATAAGACTATGGGCAGAGCGTTATCTACCAAATATCATTTTTTGATCATCTCATTGCATTGGAGCTGATAGGATGTAGTGTGTAGTTCTCGCACTGTTACTCGTATCGGTCTTCGGTAATCGCCGCAATTACGCGATTCTCCAAGTGCTTTTCTTCTTTATCGTATAAAGCGAACTGCCTTAATGGCAGTTTGAGGGGTGGTACCAGCTAGCATATACTCAAGCTGAGCTTTAGCAGCATTGAGTTGATGTGGTGCTTTTGCTTTCGTTAAGTCTAAATACTCTGCCAGAAAATGGTGACCCATTTGATGTGCATTTTAATGCATTATTTACATAAGTGATTAAAAGTTTTTATAAAACAGACATACTCTGTTAAAACTCAGAACACACTGCATAATAGTGCGGCAGACAATTGAAATACGGAATAAGCCATTTCGTAATTCACTTTACTTGGAATAAGCACATGTGTATTGTTTACAGTTCCACGACTTCCACGTGCATTCGCTTGTGAGACTGACAATGAAATCAATCAACGTAAGATGGGAAATCAAAAAACTGCATATAATAATTTGAATTTACGACACAAAATTATAACAGTTTATTAAGTAAATTAAATAAATAAATATAAAAATAAAACAACTAATGCTTTGCCCCATTAGCTTGACCACTCGTTTGGACATAGAAAGGCATAAATTTTTGTTGTAGTTTTCAGGTGATATATAGCACGCATCCGTCATGGCCGCGAAGAGAGCATCCTTACTATTAAGAACTAAACGTTGGCGTCGCAACTTTTTCACCAACAGACTTCGCATATTCTCAGTAGAATTGAGGTTTCGGTTTCGACTTTACATCATGATTTTCGACCCATGCTGCTATTCTATGACGAGCAGTGTGAACTGGGCAGTTGTTCTGTTGGAATATAAATTCATCATTTGGGAAGCCCTTCTAACCGATGGCAGCATGCCATTTTCGAGAATCTGAAATTTTTTGTCGGAAACCGTATTTTTCTGCCACAGGCTGTATCATGGATGTTTGAAACAATTTTCTGCACTCATGACCTTTTTTGATGGCTTTCGCGCATTCACCAGGGTACGGGAGTTCGAACTTTCTGCGAAGAGTTTCGCCTCTGGTATGGTTCACATACTCAGTTACCGTGCTCTTTTGCCTGCTTCCGAATTTCTCAATCGTGCTCCTGAAGATGCCCCTACGAAAGTGTGCGGGATATTGAGCTCAAAAACTCAACTGACACGGTCCTAACCCTGAAAACGATCATAGATACAAAAAAGTAAAATTTCACCGGAAATCTTGAATTTGTAGCATTATTATTGAAGCTCCGATATGACAGTTTTTAATTTTGATCTTCATTATCATTAAGTAATTAATACATACCAGTTTCAAGAAATATGGATGATCCAACACTATATGACAATGTGGAACGAAAAATTGCAGAATATTTTAAGTTGTTTGTAAAATCCAACATATTGCACGATCTTACCAGATTCCAGTTCTTAAACACATCCGTACAATTTATACATATTAAGAAGAAAAATTCTTAAAGCAAAAATATTATGACAAAATAAAACTATTTATTCTAAAACCAAAACCTCACAATAGATCCAAAAATCTAACAATTTTCCAAAAACCAACTGTTGTACCTACTTATCAATCTTTACCTGCCCTAATCGATATTTTATAATCCCCTCTTGTTAATGGGTACTAATGATTGACCAATACAGCTGTACCAACATTTATTAACAATAGTCGGTGTAATCCGTAAACTTCTGAAAATTTAATAAATTAATGTTCCAATGAAATTGTGTTGCTAAAGTTAAAACTGAATTTAACGATTACAAAGTAAAATTAGATAAATACTACCAAGGCGGTCAGTTTTTAATAATAGAAAGCAAACATGGCAACACAGGTAGTTGCAACACACGTTGATCACGTGACATAGTGAAAGGCGCAGTTGCCATTTGAGCTATTAATGTAAATATACAGATCCCATTTAAAATTCCACCTACATCTTGTAAACGGATGGAGATATTGAAGTTGTTTGTAATAAAAGACTACCATTATTGTTTTTAAACAGTTCGAAAAAGACACTCGGGATCACTGACATTCCTTTGAATTCTAAAAAAAGGCACTCAGAGTGCCCGAGATTCTTTAAAATTCCTTAAAGTAAAACACAATCGGAGCCCCCTAGATTTTTGTTAATTAAGAAAAAAACAGAATATCCTCCGGATTTCTTTTAAATTGAACGTGATTTTGTGTTAAAAATTTGAATAGTCTAACACGAAAAAGCTTCTAACATATCAAAAAGAAAATTTTTTAAAAAGCATATATTGCGACAAAATAATTACTTGATTTATAATTTTATTAACTGGCTGCTGGCCTACGCTTGAAAATGTTTTTTTTTATAACAAAGTTAACATTAAAACTTCATTTTTGTCTTCTTAAATTTATTTCATTGGACGTTTCGGCAAGATGTCATTTGTCTTTTTCAACCTGTCGGTTACAAAATCAGAATAAGGTTATATATATTACTTTCACTTACAATTATTCGTCCATGAACATTGTACATGGATTTTTTTTAACTAAAAAAAAAAAAATGTAAAAACAAATAAAAACAAATTTTTCAAGCGTAGGCCAGCAGCCTATTGATAAAATTACAAATCAAGTAAAATCAAACTGGCCAAAAGCGAAATTAGCAATGAATAACAAAATAATTACAACAACAGTTTTTTATTTAAGTATAACATTCTTTTTATTTTACGATTTTAAGATTGTAGCATTTGCAGACCCAAGGGTTAACCCCGCCCGGCAAACACCCCACCACTGTTTACGTCCAGGGGCTGAAGGTATATAAACAACCTCCGTTTATCGTCCTTTCATTATGTCCGAGCTTTCCGAGCTGTGAAGTTGGACAAGTGTTACAATGGACGGATCTTCTGGTAAGTACTTTGACTTTAAACTATTTTATTTTTTGTTTTTAAAGCATGCACTAATATTTATTTTCTTCATTTCAGGAAGCGACTTCACCACCGCTGGCCCTTCGAAGAAGCGGTCCTTCGACTGCGTCTCTCCCGCTGAGACGCAAGAGGAGAGGCCGCCGAAACGGAGACCGGGGATCGACCCCCAATCCATCCATCCTCAACCTCCTCGTTCTCCTTCGCCTATAATTCCCCCTTTTATTTTTCCATATTTCATCCCCAATCCTGTTGGCAACATTCCTATTCCCCACATCCCCACACCTGCCCACCTCGATCCCCCGCGAAGATTTCGCCCAAGGGTGCCAGCCCACTCGAGGGCTGTGAAGACCCTGCTGCCGCTCTTCATCGCTCAGGCGCCGTCATCTCAGAAGGTATGCATTTATTTCGTGTTATTTTGGATCTAATGGACTAATATACATTTGTTTTGCAGACTGTGCCGCCAGGGACGGAGCTGCCGCCTCTCCCCGACATGGACGACGGCCTCAAGCCACTGTCGGAGTATCAGGCTTTCTGCGTGTGGAGGGCCCAATGGGAGAGGCAATACTACCAGGAACGAAGGCTGACCCATCGAAGCCTCGATGCGGCGCTGTTCCTGGATAGTTATTACCTCAGCTTGGACGGTGGCTTTAGGTTAGTGTAGGTTAGGTTATGTTAGGTTTACATGTAAATGTAGTTATAGGTTAGGTTAGTTTAGTTTAGTTATATGTGTAGTAGGTGTTATGGGTATAGGTTAGGTTAGGTTAGGTTAGGTTAGTTTAGTTATATGTGTATATATAATTATAGGTTAGGTTAGTTTAGTTTTATGTATATATAAATATCGGTTATTTTAACTTAATTTTATGTGTATATATAGTTATAGGTTAGGTTTTTAATTTTATGTGTATATACAGTTTTAGGTTAGGTTATTTTAGTTTTAGTTGTACATAATGGACATAAATATTTTTAATATGTTTATAAAAATCAGCAAACAAAAATTGTTTTTTTTTTCTTATAACATAACCACATTTTTTTCTGGTTGAAATTGTCGGAGATTTCGGAACTACAGAATTGATTCCTTTTCCCGAAATTCGTTCGAATTATTTGAGAAAAACACAGTGGGGGCCCTAAGATTTTTCTAAATAAAGAAGACAATCAGCATTCTTAAATTTGTTTATAATAAAAAACGATGAATGCAGACACACGGAAACATGAAGCTACATTTTTCGTATTATAGGGGTCATGAACACAAAGAAGTAGCCATTGGGCCGATGGACTCGGCTAAAATTCTTCCTTCGCTTATGCTCAGGAAGTAATAAACATAAAACATCGGAGGTTCCCGAGATTATTTCGCATTTTTTAAAAACGGTACTCCGGGTTTGTATACACTTATCAAAAATCGCGATACCATGGAACCTCTAGATTTGCTTTAGATTTGCAGTAATTTTGTGTAAAAATTAAAGATTATCTAAAACAAAAAAGCTTCAAACATATTAAGATGATAAATTCTTAAAATGAAAATATTGTGAAAAAGATAATTTCAATAGAATTTTTTTCATTTAAATCCAAAATAAGAAACAAAATATTGTAATGAAGCGAATTTTCGTGGGCCGGAAAACCGTACCACCGTCACCGGTTTTTTTTTGTCGTCGCCGTCACAAGTCGGCAACGTCGTGTACGCGTCGTGTACCGCCACCGCGCTCCCCTCCCGGGTCGCCGTACCGACCTCGCCCGATTTCCAGGTCCAATTTCGCCGCCCCCAAGTCCAGGAGGAACCCGTCCTGAAGTAAGTCTCTGCCCAGGAGGAGCGACCGTGCCGAACGTGTTATTATTTTACTTGTCGTTTTATTGCTGTAGATAATTAAGATTAGCTGCAAGATTTGTTAGTCTAGCCGTGTAGTTGGTGGCAGGCAATAAATCTTATTTTTTATGTAAAATATTCCTTGCCGTTTTATTTTACTCTCTTGTTTTCGCGGGCGCTCAGCACCTGAGATCCGTGTCCCCGGCTTGAGAGCAACCCCGGGGCTCCCTCCCCTGGAGAAGCCAGACGTATCCAACAATTAAATATATTTATATCTCAGGCAAATATTCTTCCTACTGTTCAATCAGGCTTCAGAACTCATTTTAGCACGACCACTGTTTTAAGTTCCCTAATTGATGACGTATTGAAAGGCTGCTGTGACAGTAAATTAACTTCACTTACTTTACTGGACATGTCTAAAGCGTTCAATGCGGTTAACTTTAAGTTATTGCTTGCTTGTTGTAAGAACTGTCTTTCCTTAAATCTTGCAAAAACTATTTCGATTACTTTGGGCACACCAAATACTCTCAGATCCTAATCTTCATATTGGAGGTACCACTATTTCTTCTGCCCGAGTGGTTAAAAGTCTTGGGTTACATATTGATAATCAGCTAAAATTTACTGACCATATAAATAAGATCTGCCAAACTATATTTAATGGCTTCAAATTGATTTCCCCTGATAAGAACCTTTTAGACATTCGCTCCAAACGCCCGTTGACTGATGCTTTGATACTATCACATTTAAACTATGCTGACATAGTATATGGTCCCTGTCTATCTTGTGTGGACAAATATCGTTTACAAAAGATTCAAAATTTTTGTGTGAGATATATTTATTCTATTCCACGTGAGACACACATTACACTTTTTGTACGGAATTTAGGCTGCATGAAAATGCATGAAAGACGTTTTCATCACTTTATAAAACTCATAATAACGATCCGACTTCATAATAATCCTCACTAACTGCAAAATAGAATTTCAATTCGTAGTTCTGCACATGACTGCGACAAATGGATCTGACTGTTCACATACCGTCTCATTCTTTGAGTTCATATAAATCGTCATTTTCATATTTAGCTGCACATGTCATAAATAACGTTTTACGTCATTATTCCAACTTAAATAGCCATTGCATCATCAAATCTGTAAAGGATCTCTTATTGGCTGAGCAAGCAGAAATAAAATTAAGATTAAATTTAAATCTTTTTTAAAGTTTGCACCTTTAAAACTATCTATAAAAAAATTATGTTCCTCTTTTATATTTTACAACTTGTATTTCATATCTCATATCTTTTCAACATAGGGACAGATTGTAAATCAGTGATACTGAATCTGTTTTTTTTTTTCCTTTTGAGTATGTATTATTTATTTATTTTTGTTTACTTGTATTTTTTTTTTATTTATGGTACTCAATAAAGTTATTATTATTATTATTATTATTATATCCGAGTTTCGCCCGCTACCTGAGCTTTCCAGCTCAAAAAGTCCTAATTGCCCACATTTTATTGTAGGTGATTGTTCCAAGTTGCGCCTACTACCTGGAAATATTATCACACCTACATTGTTTATAATTTCTAAGCATGGTGTTTTTCTTGATGAAATGAAAACCAAATTTGTACATAAAGACAAATTTCTTTAATATTTCGAAAACGTAAAACTATTAGGATAACAAGAACTAAATGAGTTATTATATTTCGCGTGGAACGATTTGCAAGCATTTGTTGTCGCTCTTCAAAATTTTTCACTTTTTTTCTCTCATTAAGAAAAACACCATGCTTAAAAATTATGAAAAAGGTAGGTGTGATAATATTTCCAAGTAGTGGGCGCAACTCGGAACAATCACCTACAGTAAAATGTGGGCAATTCGGACTTTTTGAGCTGGAAAACTCAGGTAGCGGGCACAACCCGAATATGTCCATTTTACGGACTTTTGTTAATAAATGTTGGTATGTACAGCTGTACTGATCATTTATTATCCTCATAATCGAGTACCGACGAACAACAGGGGATTATAAAATATCGATAAGCGCAGGTAAAGGTTGACAAATAAAACAGTTGGTTTTTAGAAAATTGTTACATCTTTGGATCTAGTATTTTCTTTTAGTTTTACATTAGATTAAATAGTTTTATTTTGTCATAATATTTTTGCTTTAAGAATTTTTTTCTCGGTAACTCAGTATGTAAATTATGCCACAGGCGAAACTCTCCTCAGAAGGTATGGTTGACATACTGAGTTGCCGTGTTCTTTTGTCTTCTTCCGAATTTCTTAACCCTGCTCCTGACGATGCCACTTACGAAAGTGTGCGAAACGTTGAGCCCAAGAACTCATTTGACACGGTCCCAACCCGGAAAACAATCATATATTGAATCCGACAGTGGAGGCCTTTGAAATTATTTTCAACAAAATCTGTTTTAAAAGCAGCTGTTTTACCCTATGTACGAACTGTCGTATAATAGTGATACTTATTTGTTTATTTCACTCAACTTTCATCATTTTGTATATAATTTTAATTCAATTAAAAATGAAATAAATAACTATGTGCGTCATATCTGCAACTTACTAAAAACAATATCGTTCACAGAATTTCAATATCGTGATCGCCGAGTTTTAACTGGAACTGGATATTTAGGTGAAATGGCAACAATGATTTCTATTTCGGTGCAACGCCACGTAGTCATAGTACTTCCGAAATCTCCGACAATTTAAACCAGAAAAAAATGTGGTTATGTTATAAGAAAAAAAAAACAATTTTTGTTTGCTGATTTTTATAAACATATTAAAAATATTTATGTACATTATGTACAACTAAAACTAAAATAACCTAACCTAAAACTGTATATACACATAAAACTAAAAACCTAACCTATAACTATATAAACACATAAAATTAAGTTAAAATAACCGATATTTATATATACATAAAACTAAACTAACCTAACCTAACCTATAACTATGAATACACATATAACTAAACTAACCTAACCTAACCTATAACTATATATACACAAATAACTAAACTAAACTAACCTAACCTATAATTATATATACACATATAACTAAACTAAACTAACCTAACCTATAACTATATATACATGTAAACCTAACATAACCTAACCTACACTAACCTAAAGCCACCGTCCAAGCTGAGGCAATAACTATGCAGGAACAGAGCCGCATCGAGTGTTCGATGGGTCAGCCTCCGTTCCTGGTAGTATTGCCTCTCCCATTGGGCCCTCCACACGCAGAAAGCCTGATACTCCGACAGTGGCTTGAGGCCGTCGTCCATGTCGGGGAGAGGCGGCAGCTCCGTCCCTGGCGGCACAGTCTGCAAAACAAATGTCTATTAGTCCATTACATCCAAAATAACACGAAATTAATACATACCTTCTGAGATGACGGCGCCTGAGCGATGAAGAGCGGCAGCAGGGTCTTCACAGCCCTCGAGTGGGCTGGCACCCTTGGGCGAAATCTTCGCGGGGGATCGAGGTGGGCAGGTGTGGGGATGTGGGGAATAGGAATGTTGTCAACAGGATTGGGGATGAAATATGGAACAATAAAAGGGGGAATTATAGGCGAAGGAGAACGAGGAGGTTGAGAATGGATGGATTGGGGGTCGATCCCCGGTCTCCGCTTCGGCGGCCTCTCCTCTTGCGTCTCAGCGGGAGAGACGCAGTCGAAGGACCGCTTCTTCGAAGGGCCAGCGGTGGCGAAGTCGCTTCCTGAAATGAAGAAAATAGAGATTAGTGCATGCTTTAAAAACAAAAAATAAAATAGTTTAAAGTCAAAGTACTTACCAGAAGATCCGTCCATTGTAACACTTGTCCAACTTCACAGCTCGGAAAACTCGGACATAATGAAAGGACGATAAAGGGAGGTTGTTTATATACCTTCAGCCCCCGGACGTAAACAGTGGTGGGGTGTTTGCCGGGCGGGGTTAACCCTTGGGCCTGCAAATGCCACAATCTTAAAATCGTAAAATAAAAAGAATGTTATACTTAAATAAAAAAACTGTTGTTGTAATTATTTTGTTATTCATTGCTAATTTCGTTTTTGGCCAGTTTGATTTTATTTGATTTGTAATTTTATCAATTGGCTGCTGGCCTACGCTTTAAAAATTTGTTTTTATTTGTTTTTAACATTTTTTTTTTTAGTTAAAAAAAATCCATGTACAGTGTTCATGGACGAATAATTGTAAGTGAAAGTAATATACATAACCTTATTATGATTTTGTAACCGACAGGTTGAAAAAGGCAAGGGACATCTTGCCGAAACGTCCAATGAAATAAATATAAGAAGAAGACAAAAATGAAGTTTTAATGTTAACTTTGTTATAAAAAAAAACATTTTCTAGCTTAGGGCAGCAGCCAGTTAATAAAATTATAAATCAAGTAATTCTTTTGTCGCAATATATTCTTTTTAAAAAATTTTCTTTTTGAAATGTTAGAAGCTTTTGAGTATTAGACTATTTACATTTTTTACACAAAATGACAATTTAAAAGAAATTCGGAAGATATTAAATAAGATTAATTAACAAAAATCTAGGGGGCTCCGATTTTGTTTTACTTTTAAAGAATCTCGGGCACTCTGAGTGCCTTTTTTTAGAATTCGAAGGAATGTCAGTGATCCCGAGTGTCTTTTTCGAACTGTTTAAAAATAATAATGGTAGTCCTCTATTACAAACAACTTCAATATCTCCATCCGTTCACAAGATGTAGGTGGAATTTTAAATGGGATCTGTATATTTACATTAAAAGCTCAAAGGGCAACTGGGCCTTTCACTATGTCACGTGACCAACGTGTGTTGCAACTACCTGTGCTGTGTTTCTATTATTAAAAACTGACAGCCTTGGTAGTATTTATCTAATTTTACTTTGTAATCGTTAAATTCAGTTTTAACTTTAGCAACACAACTTCATTGGAACATTAATTTATTAAATTTTCAGAAGCTTTACGGATTATACCGACTATTGTTAATAATAAATGTCGGTACAGCTGTGTTGGTCATTTATTAGTACCCATAAACAAGAGGGGATTATAAAATATCGGTTAGGGCAGGTAAAGATTGATAAGTAGGTACAACAGTTGGTTTCTGGAAAATTGTTAGATTTTTGGATCTATTGTTAAGTTTTAGTTTCAAATTAGAATAACTAGTTTTATTTTGTCATAAAATTTTTGCTTTAAGAATTTTTCTTCTTAATATGTATAAATTGTACGGATGTGTTTAAAAACTGGAATCTGGCAAGATCGTGCAATATGTTGGATTTTACAAACAACTTAAAATATTCTGCAATTTTTCGTTCCACATTGTCATAGTGTTGGATCATCCATAGTTCTTGAAACTGGTATGTATTAATTACTTAATGATAATGAAGATCAAAATTAAAAACTGTCATACCGGCGCTTCAATAATCATAATACAAATTCAAGATTTCCGGTGAAATTTTACTTTTTTGTATCTATGATCGTTTTCAGGGTTAGGACCGTCTCAATTGAGTTTTGGGCTCAATATCTCGCACACTTTCGTAAGTGGCATCTTCAGGAGCACTACTGAGAAATTCGGAAGCAGGCAAAAGAGCACGGTAACTGAGTATGTGAACCATACCAGAGGCGAAACTCTTCGCGGAAAATTCGAACTCCCGCACTCTGGTGAATGCGCGAAAGCCATCAAAAAAGGTCATAAGTGCAGAAAATTGTTTCGAACATCCATGAAACAGCCTGTGGCAGAAAAATACGGTTTCCGACAAAAAATTGCAGATTCTCGAAAATGGCATGCTGCCATCGGTTAGAAGGGCTTCCCAAATGATGAATTTATATTCCAACAGAACAACTGCCCAGTTCACACTGCTCGTCATAGAATAGCAGCCTGGGTCGAAAATCATGATGTAAAGTCGAAACCGAAACCTCAATTCTACTGAGAATATGCGAAGTCTGTTGATGAAAAAGTTGCGACGCCAACGTTTGTCCCTTGAAAGTGAGAGATAAAATTTCGTCAACTTACGGTCTGGTGTCGCCATACAAGCTCTACTATGCCGACAGCCGCTCAACTTCACCCATATCTGCTCATGGCGTCTCTGGGTATATTGCTTTACGAGTTCGTTCGAGAGGGCGACCGAAGGCGTGATTGCCGGTTCGGGTCCCCAGAAGGGCATGCGCGCGGCTCGCTTCGCCATCTCATCTGCCCTCTCGTTTCCTTCGTTGCCACTGTGTCCTTTGATCCAACAAAGTTCCACACTATTCCTCTGCGTTACATACTTTAGCGTTTGTCTGCACTCCCAAACCAGCCCGGATCGAACCATACAGCTGTCCAGGGCTAGTAGTGCAGACTTGCTGTCAGTAAGTATGCGTATTGATTTGTTGCCGATTTCACGTTCAGCAATGATTCTAGCTCCCAGTATTATTCCCATCAGTTCTGTTTGTAAGACAGACGTGTGCGTGCCGAGAGGTGCGTTCAGTTGTTCGGAGTAGATGCCGGCTCCTGAACCACTATCTGTTTTGGCACCATCGACATAGATATCTATGTCGGCTCGTCCTTCTGAATTATCATTCATAGATATTCTATATGTCTTCTCATATATTAATTTAGGATTCCTTACGGGACATTACCAGTTTAACAAACATCTATATACGATAGGAGTGGTAACAGACCCAATCTGTCGTGGATGCAATGAAGAAGAGGAAACAGCTGAGCACATTCTTCGTGAGTGTCCAGCCCTAGCCTCCTAGAGGGAATCCATACTAGGCCTAGTATGGCAAATATCAGGGAGTTTCCACCCTCTGCATTACTCAAGTACATTCAAGCAGTTGGATGGCTTGACGAGTAGAGGAGCGGGAAAACACCCTGATATGGACTTGGGGAAGGTACAATGGGCCCAAAGGCGAGGCCTAAGTGCCGGCTGGCTACGGTCAGCCCCCATAAATTAAGAATACAATCCAGACGCCAACGTTTAGTTCTTAATAGTAAGGATGATCTCTTCGCGGCCATGACGGATGCGTGCTATATATCACCTGAAAACAAAAATTTATACCTTTCTATATCCAAACGAGTGGCCAAGCAAATGGGGCAAAGCATTAGTTGTTTTATTGTTATATTTATTTATGTAATTTACTTAATAAACTGTTATAATTTTGTGTCGTAAATTCAAATTATTATCTGCAGTTTTTTGACTTACCATCTCACGTTGATTGATTTTATTGTAAGTCTCACAAGCGAATGACGTGGAAGTCGTGGAACTGTAAACAATACACATGTGCTTATTCCAAGTAAAGTGAATTACGAAATGGCTTATTCCGTATTTTAATTGTCTGCCGCACTATTATGCACTGTGTCCTGAGTTTTAACAATGTATGTTTGTTTTATAAAAACTTTTAATCACTTATGTAAATAATGCATTAAAATGCACATCAAATGGGTCACCATTTTCTGGCAGAGTATTTAGACTTTACGAAAGCAAAAGCACCACATCAACTCAGTGCTGCCAAAGCTCAGCTTGAGTATATTCTAGCTGGTACCACGCCTCTAATAGCCATTAACGCAGTTCGCTTTATGCGATAAAGGAGAAAAGCACTTGGAGAACCGCGTCTTTGCGGCGATTACCGAAGACCGATAGGAGTGACAGTGCGAGAACTACACACCACATCCTATCAGCTCCAATGCAATGAGATGATCAAAAAATGATATTTGGTAGATAACGCTCTGCCCATAGTCTTATTAGTAGAGAGCGGATTTATAAGCACAAAAAAATAAAGAATAAGCGCTTAAATAAGCACAACATTTTCAATAAAAAACTTTTATTTTAATCAAAAAAGCATTAAATAAGCAAAACATTTTTGTGTGTGAACGTGAGTGTGAGTGTACAACCAAGTTCTTAGCTCTCCAATGTTCTGTGATTTAGTGGGTTTTTCGTTGTAATTTATACTAAAAGTGGTGCCGTTAGAAAGCGTTTCATGCAGCAGTTAAGGTGGTAATTAGAACATCGCCTTTTTTTATGATTAATGAAGTAAAAATCACTGCTTGTCCCGTCTAATTGTGGTTATAATATCTTATCGTAACTTTTTCTGTGGTATAGCTGACTGAGGTTTTTAACGTAGATGTGAATGATTTAGTCCACCCGATAAATTTCTTACTGTATCTTTTTCTACTGAACTGAGGTTGACTTGCATTATTTACTATCTTTGATTTGATATAATATTGGCGTATCATATAACCCCCTCTGGGGGTTTGTAAGAAATGGCGATTAGGTGTAAGAAATGCAATAAAAATATAGGGAGGAATGATGAGTATATTAACTGTCGGCAAACATGTGGTGCGAACTATCACATATCATGTGTTAACCTTAGCAAATCTGCATTTTCTTCATTGAAAGAAAGCAGATTAATTAATGAATGGAGTTGTGGTCTATGCAGTACATCCTCTCTTACGGTTGATGATTGTCAAAAAAATGAGTTAACTGCTTCTATTCCAAGTTCTGTAACTAGTGACAGTCTGAATATACTGCCCGATACACTAGCAACTATCTTCAATGACTTTTCCTCTGCTGTTAATAAAAACTTTTTCATACTTAGCCAACAAATTACCGATTTAAAAAATGAAAATACGAAGCTCCGAGAAGAAATCTCCAAACTAACTGCAAAGTTGCATGTTGAAGTCCCTCAGGTTGTCAATGATACCGTAAAGTCTCCTTCCTATTCAGACATTCTTAAAAATACTACTGCAGTTGTAATAAGACCTAAGCACGTTACTCAAACCATAGCAAAAACCAAATCTGATATCATATCCAACATTCAACCTGATAGTGAACCGGGCATTGCAAAAGTTAAATTTATTAAAAATGGTGGTATAGTTCTTAATTGTGAACATCCTAGTGAACTCAAAAAATTATCTCAGTTAAAAGACTTGAGTGATAAGTATGAAATAAGCGACTTAAAGACTCCAAAACCGAAGCTGCGCATTTCTGGCATATCCAGTGATATTGATGAGCAACAGATAATTCCATTTCTTATTAAACAAAATAAACATATCTTCAGTGAATCTTCTCAGTGCAAAATTCTTAAATACTTTCCTATAAAAAATCGTAATAATTATTTTCAAGTCATATTAGAGGTTAACATCTCTACATACAAAAATGCTCTTCTTTATGGTCATTGCCTAATTGGGCTTGATGGTTGTAACATCTATGACGCTATTGATGTAATTAGATGCTTTAATTGTAATGGTCTTAATCATTCGTTAAATACTTGTAAAAAAAAAATCTCTTGCCCTAGGTGCTCTGGTCCACATAGGGTAAATGATTGTCATGCTACTAATGAACAACTGCGATGTATCAATTGTGTTAGCATTCAAATTAAAGACAATTTAAGTGATGAGGACATTTCCCATGCTTGCTAGGACATTAACAACTGTTTTTTTTATAAACGGACTATTGAGAAAATCAAGTTAGATGTCTTTGGGATATCTAGCTTGTAGCAATTAAACTATTTTCCTAACTTAATTTCTTCCTCATCAGCATCATCTCCAGCAATATCGAACAAGAGTGTAGATAAAGGAAATATATCTCTCTATTATCAAAATGTTCGTGGTCTCAATTCCAAGCTGTTGCGGTTCTCCAATGCTGTAGCTGCCTGTGCCTATGATTTAATCGCACTTTCTGAGACATGGCTGCACAGTGGAGTTAATGACAGTGAAGTCTTTGACCAAAACTATGAAATCATTAGAAGGGACAGAGACTTGTTGCGTACCAACAAACAGACAGGTGGTGGTGTGCTTATTGCGATTAGATTGGGACTCCATTATACTGAAATTAATCTATCTAACACTCCTTTTAATAACCTTCACCTTATTGACATTGTCTGTGTTAAGGTGTTGATTGCTTCTTTATCTATCACAATATTTGTCCTATATATTCCTCCTTCGTTGGCATTAGATTACTATCAATTAATCTTTGAGGCGTTTGTAACGTTAGAGCTGTTGGATGACTCCAATATTCTTATAATTGGTGACTTTAATATACCTGAATTTTTTTCATCTCTTAGTAATCCTCATTGTATAAAAAGTTTGGAATTGTGTAATTTTATGAAAATGTTTGAACTGAAACAGTTTAATACCATTTTAAATTGTGATAATCGGCTTCTTGACATCGTCTTATCCAATATGTGCTGTTCAGTATTAACTTCTGATGATCCATTTGTAGATGAAGATCCACGTCATCCTTCTCTCCATGTAGATGTATTTGTGAATAACATATCATCAAGCAATTTTCTGAAAGCAGCGTCTAATGGAACCAGTTACAATTTTCGTAAGGCCAATTTTCTTAATCTATATGAGGATATTCTAAATACTGATTGGTCTCTCCTTAATAAATCCACTGATATTAACTCTGCCTGTTGCTTATTTTATGATCTAATATATAAACTGTTCGATAAACACATACCTATGTATAAAAAAAGGGAATATACCTACCCTGCATGGTTTTCACCTGAAATTATTCGGCAGGTTCGTTCAAAAAATCAGCTTAGAAGGAGATATTTAAAGTACGGAAATACAGCTGATGCGCTTGCATTCAGGGAATTGAGACGTAGCATTAAGCGAGAAATATCAATAGCTTATAATGCATTTATCAAGAATTCTGAAGACATGATTAACACAGATCCGTCAACTTTTTGGGGTTATATACGACGTAAAAGACGACACACCGGGATACCATCTTGTGTGACTCTTGGTGATACTGTTGTAACAGGAGCAAAAAATATTGCTAATGCGTTTGCACAATTTTATGAATCAACCTATATCCCTAGTTCTAGCTGTAACCTTAACAAAGTTAAATATGACAATACAAATGTGAACATAAATGTGTCTATCATAAGTGAAAATGAAGTGCTTGAAGCTATCAACAGAATTAAATCGAACAATGTTCAGGGTCCTGATGGTATACCAGCATTTATCATAAAAGATTGTGCTCGGGTTTTAATTAAACCGTTATCTGTTCTTTTTAATCTCTGTGTTAACTTAGGAACATTTCCAGATTGTTGGAAGCTTTCCAAAATCATTCCTGTTCATAAAGGCAAAATTCGAACTGCTGTTGAAAACTATCGACCTGTCTCAATTCTTAATAATTTTGCAAAAATCTTTGAATCTTTAATTTATAAACAACTGTATTTTCAAGTAGCCGCTTCAATTACAGAGCGTCAACATGGCTTTATGAGTGGCCGCTCTACAGTTACAAATCTTCTTTGTGTGACACAGTTTATCGCAGACTCTATCGATTGTGGACTACAGACCGATGTAATATATCTTGATTTTTCAAAGGCTTTTGACAAACTAGATCATGGTATATTAATTGATAAACTTTATGCTTTGGGCCTGAATATGCAATTAATTACCTTTTTTGGGTCGTACTTAGGTGACAGAAAACAATATGTCCATTGCTGTGGATATGATTCTGATGTCATTACTGTTTTATCGGGAGTACCACAAGGTTCTGTACTTGGTCCGCTTCTTTTTTTATTGTTCATC